AATTAGAGCAGAGATTCCAAAGAAGCAGCTCTATTTTGGTTTTGTTATATCCTCACTTTCCTAAAAGCACTGTGGTGGTTCACAAATTACCACGTAGAAATGAAATGTATTTGATTTTTATTTTTTGTGCCTTTTTAATTTTTTTTTGAGACAATGTCTCCCTATGTAGTCCAGGCTGGACTCGAATTTATGGTGATCCTCCTCCCTCAGGCCCCCGAGTGCTGGGATCATGGGCGTCCACCACCAGGCTTTGTTTTGTTTTGGTTTTTGTACTTTTAAAGATCAGAGTTTCACGGCTGGGGATTTAGCTCAGTGGTTCCGCCGCCTGCCTCAAAAGTGCAAGGTCCCGAGTTCGATCCCTGGTACCAAAAAGAATTTCATAATATTCCTGGATTGAAGTGGGAATAATCTGGGAATAATTAAATTGGCCATCAGTGAATTAGGTCCTAAGATGGCGTGAGCTGTAACACCTAGAACATCTGTGGTCTATACTTGCAGTGTAACTTGTACCTTGGACTCACGTTTGGCATACATAGCCATGTCTAGAAAAACCTCTCATGTCTAGAATAGAAAGTGTGAGGAAGATGCAGACTCCATACTGGGTAAGAATATTTAAATTCTGTCTTTTGCACAGAATTGAACATTTACAGTTGTGTCTTGAAGATATTAAATACCTGTCTTTCTTAAAAGGGCATACGCGCTGCCTGCTGTGCAAGCACAAGGACCCAAGTTCGATCCCTGGTACCAAAAAACAAAACAAAACAAAAAGGGCATACATTTCTTGTTCGAATTTATAATAATGGCTACTGTGTTCTTTCCAATTCATCCACCCTCGCACCATAGAGTGATTGTACTTACTTTCCTTACTTTTACTTGACCCAAGCTCACTCTGCAGAGCCTGTTTCTTTTTCTCCTTTTAATAAATGTAAAACCTTGCTACCATTAAAACAAAGTTATAATAGTGTATCATTTATGGAGAACAGATCGTGTAACACAATCATATTTATATTATCCTAACTAATTTATGAAGTATAAGTGTTGAGCTCTTGTTTGTTAAATACATATGGTGTACTGCATCCATGACAGGGGTCCCATGGGATTATATTGCTCAGTGCTGTCACACCTACTTGACATTCACACATAGAGGTCACTAATGACACTTCTCAGAACAAGGCCCCAGGGTCAACTAACATGTGATTAATTGCAACTCGGCTGAAGAACTTCACAGAAATCCAGATTTATTTTAAAAGGAAAAATCTTTTCACAATGTGATTCACCACTCTCAGACTGAAAAGCTCTGCACATTTAGAGGACATGGGATGTTGTACTGGATTTTCCTAAGGTGGAGATAATATCTTCATTTTTACTAAGACCTGACATTTGTCCAGGATATGTTATAATTTACTGTATAGTAACTGAATTGACATATCCTTGCTAGCTTTTGTCTTCTATTGGTAATTGGGTCTGTGACATTGTGATGTATATTATTAAATTCTATTGGGATAGCTGAGCTTTATATATGGCTTATATTTTTGTAATATTTGATTATATGTACTACTACCATATTTAGGTATAACAATGTAATATGGCCAATTAATTTTCTTTCTTGGAGCTCTCTGCATTAAAATATGTCTGCACTTTACATTTTGGTTTTGGTCAAATGGCCCTTGAAAGAGATTTTTTTCTTTTTATATCATTTTTTTTGAAAGATTGTATTTTAATATCATATCAATACTTTTTTCTTTTAATCTATAAAAATGCATTTAATTTCAGCAGTAAAATTGACAGCATCCATTTTTATCTTTAATTAACTTTTCAGTTTGGCTTTCATTTTAAAGGCTTACAGCGGAATTTATCACCAAGGCATAATAGAGATGATGAATGGAAGATTTGGAGAAGCTGCCTAGCTCTGGATTTAGCTCAGTTGACCCCATTATAAAAAAAGAAAAACCAACAACAACATTGATATAAAAGATGACTTGCTAGACCACACCACACACCTATGCTAACATTTATTTTGGATTCCTGCTATTTTCTTCAGGCTCCTAATTCCCTTTCCATGTGCCCTGTTTTAACTCCAAAGTACCAATTGCTTGCGAGGCAGGTGGCAGAACCACTGAGCTAAATCCCCAGCCCTCAGCTGCCCTTTGCTTAGGAGTTTGTCAGTGCAAAATCACATCAGGGAATGATTGTCACACAAATAATAATGGGTACTTTTTATTGGATTACTGGGTACTCTGCTAAGCACTTCACTAATTTCATCCTTCTGCCAGGTGGGTTTTTAGGCTTTACTTTAAGGCCCAGGAATGGGGTTTCATGAGAGAGATTTAGTGTAGCGAATGAAGTCAGGTCATCTAGGTTTGAGTCCCAACTCTCCATTTTCTAATTCATTAGCTGTGAGATAGTGGGCCAACGAGTTAGTATTCATTTATTCACCCAACAAACATTTTGGGGATCTAGAGTGTGCTCAGTATACTGGGCCTCACCCAGGAATAAAGCAAGCACAGCTGCTGCTGGTCTGGGGCTGTTATCTGGGGGCAATCAGACCCAGGGCACACCAAAGAGAATGGAGTGACAGATTGTGGCAATGTAGTGAAGGTAGGGAACAGGTGTTGATGGGGACTAACAGGCAAGGGCGTGGAGGACCCAATTTAGACAGGTGGGTGTGCTGTTGGAGAGGGGACAGGCCCAGCTGGAGCAGGGGTAGGAACTGGCAAGGGGGGAGGAAGAGTAGGGTGTGGAAGTTGTGAGGGCAGGGGTTGGGGGCTCCTCTAGGAATCATGACCAGGACTTGGGGTTCTGTTTTTGTTTCAGGCTGTCACTTGCAGGATGTGCTGGAGGGTGCAGGGGAAGAGACTCAGCTGAGAGGCTGGGTCAGGAGTCTAAGCTAGACACGAGGACAGGAGAAGCAGGATACAGATCCAAGGTAAACTCAAGATAAATTGTACTTAATTTTTTTTTTTCCTTGAAACAGGATCTCACTATGTAGTTAGTTCAGACTGGCCTTGAACTTTTGGCAATCCTGCCCCAGCCTCCCAAGTGCTGGGATTACAGGTGTGCACCATCACCATCTGAATTGCACTTAATGTTGAACCAGATCAGACATGGTGGGTGAAGCAGAGAGGGGAACTAACTTCCAGGATTTTAGCTTGAGTAATGAGTTGGATGGTAGAACCACTGTTTGAGATGGAAAGAGGAAGAGGAAGAGGACAAAGTGGTTTGGAACATATTAAGTGACACATCCACATATTAATGATGTTAAGTTCATAGTCAGATATCCTGGAGCTCAGAGGTGATATCAGCACCTGAGTATGAACTTGTTTGTCAGTACATAAATGGGATTTAAAGCCAGGAAAATTGATTAGATCATGGAAGGAGTACTTGGGACAAGACATCAGGTCCTGGATTTAAGTCTGTTCCTGCCATCACTATTCTCTTGCTCAGTGGCTACTCTGTAAGGTAGGTAAGGATAGGCTGATTGGGGCTGGCATTTTTGACCTCTAGTTTTCAAGGCTGATTATTTTCCATCTAGGACTTATTTTGGGGCAACAAGGTAGTGGAGAACATAAGATTTATAAAGAAATGGACAGTCCCTTTGGAAGTTGGTGGATAGATGCTACTTCAGGGGAACTTTGTAGGTGGCAGCTGCAGCAGCAAGCAGCAGTCTTCATTGTCTTGGGGCTTCCCAGTGTCTCCTAGCAGTGAGAAGACGCCTGTCATCAGAGTCAGGTGCAGCCACCACATCCAGCAACGAGTAATTGGCACTAGGAATCCTTCTAGGGAAAAAGAAAAACCCATCCAAGATGCATACATTAAATTCCGTGATTATCTGCTTGGATTTTAAAGTGCCCAACAAATTACACAGTGTGCTTTTCACTTGAAAAAAGAAACCAACAGCTAATAGTGTTTTTCGCAGACTATGCAGATGAGCATTTTTCCTGTGGTAATTGATACAACACCCTGGGGAAGTCTAGAAGTTCTGATTATGCTTACAGTGGCTGAGCAGACAAACACCGAATTCTAGTTTTGCTACCCATAGGTACTGTGACCTTCGGCAGTTATTCCACTTCTCTCTTTCAAATCCCTTAGCTATAAAGGCAAACTAGCACTCTGAAGTCACCCAAACACTGTGAGGATGAACTACATAAGGGTCTGTAAGGTGGTGAATTCTTCAGCATGAAATATAGATCTGCAGTGAAGGGTTGCTAAGTGCTGTCTTTCATGCCTGTGCACAAGTGTTATTAATGACTGGGCTGCTTATCACCCTTGCATCCCTTTTCTGTGCTCTTTTCGTTAGGTCCTGTTTAAGCACACCGGCTTCCTTAGCTATTGGGTTTATTTTCCCGGTGCTATTTAGACCTTAACTGAAGAAGGTTGCCATTGATATACTTTGCGGCCAGATCTCATTTTTAGCAGATTTATCATGTTTGGCTCATGATACATCTCTGAGGTGCCAACCCTGTAACGTCTGTGAACAGTAAGGGCACGCTCTGCTACTGCAGTTTAGGGTAATTTGCTTGAATCCCTTCAACCAATGAAGCTTTCTAATCAATTACGAACAGAGGCATGAGATGCAGGGCGGGGCCCAGGGAGTCCAGGCATGATTCCAGCTGTCAGCGTCCATCTCCGTCAGCCTGCTAAGTCTCTGTGGCAGATCAAGGCCCTGATGTTTACACATGTTAATTGACGGCTACACAGTGGCCCTGGCCGCATCTGAAGCACCTCGTGTCCGTCCCTTGAATAACAGAATGGGTGGAAGAGCTGTAGTCACCAGCTGTCCAAATCCTCTAGTGTAGTCTCCTCTTTCAAGGGCGAGAAAATAGGCCCAGAGAGGAAGGACGACGTGTCTGGGGTCGCCTTGCAAGTCCAGAACGTTAGGTCTCCAGATGGGGTCCACTTGGCGCGCCCTGCAGCCCCACGAGGAAGGCAGGCCCAGAAAGGTAAGCGGGGCCGGGCTAAGGGGCGGGGCCTGGGGGGAAAGGCGGAGCTAGGAGCAGAAGGGTCGAATCGGAAGCAGGACCGGGAAAGGGAGGGGGGGGCGTGGACAAGGGAGCCGCCTGGGCGGGCTCCAGAGCTTGGCTTTGGGCGCGACCCGGGGAGGCAGTGCGCCTACCGCTCCCTAGCGCCCGGAGCCTCTGCTGAGGCGATCTTCGCGGAGAAGAGGCTGTCGGCGGCATTCGTCCTCTCGTGGCCCCCGCTGCCCGCGTTGCATCCCCCGAGGGTCCACCTTCCCGCAGGGGCCGGGCGATGGCGGTATGGGCATCGGGGCACCGCGTGCTCCAACTGCTCCTCCTCGTCCCTCTGGTCGAGGGGCGCAGTGAGCCCGGAGGTGAGGAGATGGGGGCGGGGCCAGAAGCCGAGGGGCGGGGCGTGGTCGGGAGGGTGAGCAGTGGTCCCGCGCCCCTGTGCCTCCGGTGCCTTGTGTCCGGTGCGCCCCCGCCCCTTGACACTGCCCCCGTGCCGGGCTCGTGCCAGCAGCCGCGGTTGGTTGGGGCGGACTCGTTTACTGCGGGGCCCGCAGCTCCGTCCCGCGTGGAGCGCTGGCTCCTTCAGCAGGAGACCGCACGAGCTCACTGTGACGAGGGTGAGCAGAGGGAATGCCGAGTACCACGGCCCGTCTCGTCCCTCCTTCGATAAGGTTTCTGAAGCTCAATTCCTGATTTTGGGAAGTACAGCAGTAGCGTGGGGGACTAGGATGATTAACTGCGGGATTCGTTGCTTAACGTAGATGGAGAGAAAGAAGGCGAGTTAAGTGAAATCCTGCACAGTTACAGTTGAGCGGGAGGACAGGAGCGTGGCTTTGCAGCCAGACAAACCTGTGTTCGAGTTCTGGCCTTGGAGCAGATTAGGACACACGCACGCACAGGGCCTGACAATCTAGAAAATGGTAATTCCATATCCTTTTGCGGTGAAGGTGGAAATTTGAAGATGTTTTATCTGTTCTAATGTAAAGCATTGTGACAGCGTTGTAAATAGCTCTCTGTTCATGAGTTACAGTTCAGTGTTATAACCAGAGATGATTACTTCCTTTTTCCTGCCCCCACTTAGTAAGTACTTTTGTAATAATCCTCTTTTTGTATTACATTTATACTTTCTTTTCTCATCCCATGTGAATGTCTAAGAACGGTGATTCTTACATTTTTCTTTGTGTGTCCAAGACTAGTTTATTATAGGAGCCTAGTAAATGTTTGTGAGAGAAACCAATGGAGCAGTAAAACGCACTGGATAGTTCGTCCCCTGATAGGCGAGAGGTCATTAAAGGTTCTCTCTTCCTGCTCTGAAATCTTGAGGTTTTATGTGTTCTTAGTAAGTGATCACCTTGAAGAAGTCAGTGATACTGTATTGAATAGTTTGGTATTGATGTCGAATTACACACTTACTTGGAATGTTAATATGCTTTTGTATACAACCGCATTGAAATCCCGGAGTCTGAAAGTACAGTGGAGTCCAGAGACCTGCTGCTAACTGGCTGTGCTTCCTTGGGCATGTTCCTTGACCTTGCTGATTCTTTATTTTCACTTCTTTAAAATCAAAGGGCCATGGTAGATGCTTTTTAGGGCCTTTCAATTGTAATTACTTTCATGTTTGCATTGCATTGTTTTCACATTCATCTCAGATTCCTATAATAACTCTTCTTTAGGGTTTTCTTTGAGTCAGACCCCAGGAATAGAGACAGTCCTTTCAGCTAACAGTGGTACCTCTTTGCCTGATGGAAGGTCACGGAGCTGCGGAAAGTGGCCCAGATGGCAATTTTGTCCATATTAAAGCATAATTTACTAGTACATTAAGATAATATAAGTCTTTTACACTTGATCTTAGCCAAAAGGCCGAGAAGGGATAAGATAAGTCTTTTAAACTGGCCTAACTGTGATGGGGACAGTGACTTATGGAAACCAGAGTCTTTAGTCAGTTTTATTAGCTGTGCGACATTTTAAAGGGTTGCAACTATTTTTAGCACATGTAGTAGCTGAGTTTTTAAAGGAAATAAAAGGGCTGGGGATTTAGCTCAGTGGTTCCACCGCCTGCCTCAAAAACAAGAAGGACCTGAGTTCCGTCCCGGGTACCAAAAAACAAAAGAGAAATGAAAGAAAATAAAATAATTCATAGAAAATGAGAGCTACAAAGCTGTTTTCTTTTCATCTTTAGTTATTTCATTAACATTTTCAGAGGTTAACAAATATACATCTAGTGGCTTAGAAATTTTCCCTCTAGAACATCATTGGTATAGTTTTATAACGTCAATAGAATATTTTTTTGGTACTAGGGATCGAACTCAGGACCTTGCTCTTTCAAGGCAGGTGGCAGCACCACTGAGCTAAATCCCCAGCCCCAGAAGAATTCTTTTTAAGGATTCTTTTCTGTTTTATGTTGAAAATTTTAATTTAAATATATTTTGTTCACAATTTAGGGAAACACGGTATTGTTTCTCCTACTATGTCTAACTTAATGACCTCATGCTCTTTTCTTGGAAAGTACAGTTATAGACAGTGGACAGTACTATAAGCTTTTGGATTTTTATTTTTCTTTTTTTCTCTTTTTGGTACTCGGGTCCTTGCGCTTGCGAGGCAGGCAGTGGAAGCACTGGCCTTCCTTTGTTATTTTGAGACAGGGTCTCGCGCTGTAGTTTGGGCTAGCCTCGAACTCTGGGCTGGATCCACCTATCTCAGCCTCCCTCCCCAGTGCGGTGATTCTAGGCCCGCACCACTGTGCCTGCCTGAGCTTTTGGATATTATACACTACACGGAATTAGGCAAAACTTTTTCTTCTCTGTCAGGATTTCTCAGCTTCTGAAAATATAGGACGAGAATTTTGTTGTGGGGGAGTGGAGTGTCCTGAGCCTTATCAGGCACCCTGACTTAAAGTCTTCTGCATGAGATGACACTTAAGCACCCACAGCACATGTCTTCAGATATTGTCAGATGTGCCCTAGAGGACAAAAATGTCCCCCACCTCCCCACCCCTGAGAACCTCGCCGTGGATTTTCTTGACCAAGGATCTCAAACTTGAACGTGCACAGGAATCCCTGGGATGTGGATGGGGTGCAGGTGCTGACTCGGCACCCAAGGTCCCTGTTTCTAACAAGCCTGAGGTCCTGGTGGTTGTTGGTCAGAGCTCCATGCTTGATGTAGCAGGGCTTTCATCTGCTCCCCATTAGGTGCCAGTGGGTGAATTCTCAGGTGGATCCGATGAAAGTGATTATGGAAGCAGCGACTTTATGATGAGTTGTAGCCCAGGCAACATAGACTGACAGGAGGAAAGCAAGCGTTATGCCACTCTCCTGCCAAGCCGCTGTCTCCACCCTTCCTTCCAGTCACTGGGCATAGGTGGACAGTTCTGAGGAGGACATCCATAGCACCTTATCAAAGTCATGCAGGCTACACAACTTCACATGCTGCGAGTGTTTTATTTCATATGCTGTGAATGTGCTCATTCATAATACACATTTATTGCCTGTTGAGAAATCTGTGGTCCCAAATTAAAGTAGTCAACTCTGCATTTACTTGATCTGATGATGCTTAAATTTTTTTTGTCTTCTCTTCCTGAGAACTATTGACTAGACCTGAATTTAACACTGCCTAGAGTCTTTTTCTCACTGCAAGTGTTCTTGAGCGGGCAAGATGTTACATTAAATTTACTGAAGCATATCAATTACAGCATCACTTTATCCTGTAATTCTGTGATAAAAATCAATGTAAAATATAGTGAAAATCCTGAAGTGAAAAAAAATCCTCTGCATTTCATCTGTGATACTAAAATAACGATTGGTAAGCATACTTATTTGCCACATTGAAAATGCCTGACAAAATGCACATTTATTTCCCCTCACATTAACAAAGTGGTTGTATTTGCTACTTTATCTTACTGTTACTTTGTTTTGTTTTGTTTTGTTTTGTTGGTACTGGGGATCAAACTCAGGACCTTGCGCTTTCGAGGCGGGCGAGGGAACCACTGAGCTAAATCCCCGGCCCTATCTTACTGTTGCTTAAAATAGCCTTCCTAGGACTGCTGCAAAGAGGGTTTTTATAAAAAGGAATTAAAAAGTCACTTTTTGTATTAAAAGATATAAGGAGACTTGGGAGCATTAACTACTGTAGGAATGCCTTAATTTTGAATTGAGGATATACAGTATCACTCTTGTGAACTGCTTTAGGTAGATTTATTTCATTTTCAGAGCAGTCCATGAAGAAATTGGGGAAAGCTATTGGCAGCCGCTATTTAGTAAAATTTAAGATGTACATACTCTTGACTCAGCAGTTCCACGTCTGAGAGTCAGTGCTTGCATAAGTATGGGAAAATAGATGTCAATTACAACATTTTCCCATTGTAACATTGTTGTAGGAAATCTGGACCTGGAAAAACAAACCCACTCAAAAGAGATAGAGGAAAGCTTTATTTGACTGGTTGGCCCAGGGGAGCTAGGTACTCCGTAAAGACCTGGGCTTCAAAATTTAAAAATGAGGGAGTTTTATACAGTAGTTTAAGTTGGGGTGGGCTTGGGATGAGCGATAACTTAACTGTCTTGAGATTAGGGCTTTCTTCAGGAACAGGATATTCACATAGCACAACACGTCAGGATGCATATTGTGAATGTTGAGGCTAACCAAGATATACATTGTGAAGTTTGAGGCTAACCGGATACATTTTCAAGGTTAACAGACAGGACATAACAGAATGTACATTGTGAATACTAAAGCTAACAGGATATACATGTATTTTTTGTGGTGGCTTACATTGTGATTATATGAAGTACCAGTAATTATGAGGGGTTGTGGATCTGCCTGTTTCTGGGTAAATAGAAACAAAATAAGGGCCTGTGAGAATTCATAAGCCTTGAAGGCTTAAAAGTTTAAAACGTCTGCATTAGCATTATTAGAAATAAACCTAAACTGAACACCACAGAAATACCTAACCATGGTGAAAACTTAAATAAGATAGGGCATTCCCATAAGGTAGACCTCTTCATGGCTTCTGAAGAAAGAGTGGAGATAGGTAGATACCTCCAGGTTAAATGGGAAAATCGCCTTGCATAATTTAAGAGAAAACATTTGTCCTTCCCATGTGTGGAGGTGAGGTAGGGTAGGGTGCACACATGCATGTCATTGAAAATGTCTACACCTCAGATTTACCAGTGGTTACCCTTAGAAGAGAGAGGAATTGAACAGGGAGAATTGCTTCTCTTTATCAGGTACTGTCTTCGGATTTTGACAGTGATAATGCATTACTTTTGCAATGAAAGCATCATTTTGAGAGAAAAAAAATCTGGGTCCTAGTTCTAGGTTTACTGTTTACTAGCTACTAATGTCAAACCAGCGATTCTCAAAAAGGGGC